AGGCAGGAGACTCGCTTGAGCCCAGGAGTTGGAGGTTGCTGTGAGCGTGATGCCATGGCACTCTACCCAGGGGGATAGCTTGAGGCTCCGTCTCAAAAAGAAAAAAAATAATAATAATTTCTACTATCAGTTGCATACTAGTCGACACCCTCCCCCATGAACGTTCCAGGTTCATGGCTTTGTAGATACTGAGAAGTTTAGGTTTAGATTACGGGTATAATTATGTTTTTTCCCTCTAGCTATAGAAGTTTACTGTTGTGGCTCTGCTTAGAGTCTGTCTTGCATTAGTTGAGTGTTCTAGAATTATTTAAAGGTAGACTTTATTTATGAGGAGATATTAAGTAAAAAGGAAGGTTGCAAAAAAAATTAAGTTGCCATTTCTTCAACTTTATAGAGCTATATAAGGGGGACTAGAACAAAGTACCCACCAATCATCATCAGCTTTTAGTATTAGGGTTGGCCTCCACCCTCTAAAGATATCTATAAATTTATGTTCATTTTTTAAATTTTAAAATGATAACAAACATATCGTTGAAAATTTTGACTTAGTTGAAAATATAATCATTAGGGCCAGGTATGGTGGCTCATGCCTGTAATCCCAGCACTTTGGGGGAGGCTGAGGCAGGTGGATTGCCTGAGCTCAGGAGTTTGAGACCAGCCTGAGCAAGAGCAAGACCCCATTTTGAAAAACTAGCCAGGCATTGTGGCAGGTGCCTATAGTCCCAGCTACCTGGGAGGTTGAGTCAAGAGGATCACTTGAGCCCAAGAGTTTGAGGTTGCTGTAAGCAATAATACCATGGCACTCAAGAAAAAAAAGAAAATATAATCATTAGTATGATTTTTAACTTACCAGTAAATCAACTTCAAAATAATAAATTAAGAAAAATTTATTTATAGGCCTCAAATTCTAATCTATCTATTTTATTTATTATTATTGTTTTTTGAATCAGAGTCTTAACTCTGTCGCTCTGGGATTGAGTGCCATGCTGTCATAGCTCATAGCAGCCTCAAACTCTTGGGCTCAAGTGATCCTCTTGCCTCAGCCTCAGCTACAGGCACCTCAGCTACAGGCACCCCCACAATGCCCAGTTAGTTTTTCTAATTTTGGTAGAGACAGGGTGGTCTCCAACTCCTGAGCTCAGGGGACTCACCTACCTCAGCCTACTAGGATTACAGGCATGAGCCATCGCACCTGGCACATATATGATTTTTTTTTTTTTGAGACAGAGTCTCACTATGTTGCCCTTGGTAGAGTGCTGTGCCATCACAGCTCACAGCAACCTCAAATTCTTGAGTTCAAGAAATCCTCTTGCCTCAGCCTCCTGCGTAGCTGGGACTACAGGTTACAACGCCACAACGCCCAGCTATTTTTGGAGTCAAGGGTCATGCTTTTGCTCAGGCTGGTCTCAAACCTGTGAGCTCAGGCAATCCACCTATTTTGGCCTCCTAGAGTGCTAGGATTACAGGCATGAGCCACTGTGCCTGGCCCTGTATCTAATTTTAAGTTACTACAGGTAACATAGTTAGACTTGTCTCTGTATATCAGGTACTTTTCTTTTCCTTTTAAAGGTTATTTACTTAGAATAAATTCCCGGCAATGGTTTTACTAGGTCAAAGGGCATGAACATTTTTATGGTCTTAATATATAACATATTTCCCACTTGCTCTTCAGAGAAATTATACCAATCTTCGTTACCACAAGCTATGTGGAAAAGAACTGGATTCCTAACAAGGTTGAGAAATGTTATTTTTCTTTCTAAGCATTTCACTTTATTTTTGTTACCTTACCAGGTACATTAGTATATTGATTTTGATTTCTCTATTATGATAAATAATTTTTAAGTTATCAACATGCCAGGAACCATTTTAAGAAGTTCACATATATAAAAATTATGTTTTACTATAAAAATAATTTATATAAATCCTCAGCGCGAAAGTAAAACTCCACCCTCTATACATTTGATATCATAAAATAAACTTTTAAATTTCCAGAGAATACGTGAACTCATTTCATAGAAACGGAAAGGCACAGAAAATTCAGCTATGAAAGAAAAGACAATTCTGTATTCTAGGTTTTTCAGCATGTTTGATTTTTGTACATAGAACATTTATTCAAAGAAATAATCATTTCTTTTATTATTGAGAAAATAGTTTTTTTCAGGATTAGAAAATTCATTGAACCTATATCTTCTTTGTTTTAAATGACCATATGGGACTTTAAAAGCTCACTGTAGGAAGTGGGATGATAAAATGCAAAATGACAATACTACTAATATTTTTAAAGTAATTTTAAAAAGTTGTTCAGTAAATGACCTACCTGATTGCACCAAGCACATCAAACTGATGAATAAGTACAATCTCAGCATATGGAAACTGCAGAGAACGTGTGTCACATTCACAAGAAAAATGATTTACGTCGCGGAGCCTTAAGAGTTTCCCCCACGGGCTTTGCTGACGGCGAGCTCAGAAAACTAACTCATCCAGAGGTGCGGTGACAACAGGAAGTTCCCTAGGGACTGACTGCGGGCGGTCTCAACCCTTTCAGGAGCTTTGACTCCTCCTCTTCTCAATAAAAGGTCAGTCACTGTCTACCTCACACGATTTTATGCATATTTTAATATTATAATTTGTATTTGCAGAATGACGAGTTCAAGATAGTTTCATTCTTTGTGGGCGGTTTATTAGTTGTTTGGCGTGGTGTGTTGAAATCAAGTGTGATTTGAAATCTGTTCCTTCCTTGCTCTTGTGAATGAGAGAACAAACACAGCTAGTATTCTGTTGGCCTGTGTATACAGAAACACTTGTTATGTTAATTCACCATTCATTCATCATAGGGCAGTCTTTAGATTGTATTAAGGACATTTTATTAGGTCAAATTTTATACCTGGATTTGCCAAAAAGTAAAGGAAACTTTTACTTTTGTTCAGATCAAAGGAAACTTTTTTTGGTATGAGATATTCTTTTTTCTTCCTATCCAAAATTCCTATCTAATAGTTCTTTTTTTAAAGGAAAAGTAAACACAAAAATTTACATAGGAAACTACACCAGAATCTGGCCACCTCAGTGTTAGAAGTAACTAAACTAGTGACGCCCAGCAACAAGGTCATTTAATTCCTGTTCTGGTGAAAGTGGTTGGAACACTTAAAGCTCTGGTGGCCTAAACAGCTTAAACATCAACAAATAAATACACAAACAATTTAAAAATACATTTTCAGTGCAGGCTCGAATGGATTACTCCTATAATTCTACCACTTTGGGAGCCTAAGGCAAGAGGATCACTTGAGCCCAGGAGTTTGAGCTTACTGTGAGCTATGATGGAGCCACTACACTATAGACTGGGGGACAGAGTGAGACCAAAAACATAACTTTTCCATTCAAAGCATCAAACAAAAGCCACTAGTCCTTTAGCATTGTCTTCCTGAAGTATGTGTTTTTTAAGAAATAGGCATGGTGCGAAGGACCTTAGCTATAATTCAGAACAGCACAATAATCAATGGGAGAACCTGTCCCTTCTTTTGGGTATTAGTGAGAAATATCAAATATAAAACAAAAAACATTCCTAAGAACAGAGGAGAGGAGAAGAAGGGAGGAGAGGAGAATGGGTGTTCTGTCTTTTAGTGATGGAACAGTTGTGTACCTTAATTGCAGTGGTGGCTACAGAAACTATACATGTTAAGTTTGCATAGAACTATATACACATGTACTTGTAAAACTGGTAAAATGTGAACGAGTTTGTAGATTGTACCAAAGTCAAAGTCAATTTTCTTGTTTTGATCATGTGCCATAGTTAACATGGGCTGGGCATAGTGGCTCACACCTGTAATCTTAGCCCTGGGAGGCTGAGGTAGATGAATCACTCCAGCTTAAGGGTTTGAGACCCTGTCTCTACTAAAAATAGAAAGACTAGCCAGGCATTGTGGCAGGCACCTGTAGTTCCAACTACTTGGGAAACTGAGGCAAATGGATTGCTTGAGCCTAGGAATTTGAGGTTGCAGTGAGTTGTGATGCCATAGCACTCTACTCAGGGGGACAGAATAAGACTCTGTTTCAAAAAAAAAAAAAAAGAAAGAAAGAAAAAAGAAACAAACAACAACAAAAGATGTTAGCAACTGGGAAAACTGGGTCAGGGTACATGGAACTTCCTGGTACTATTTTTTTGTTCAAAAACAGTGTCTTGCTGTATTGGGCTCAAGTGATCTTACTCTTGGGCTCAAGTGATCCTACTTCCTCAGCCTCCTGAATAGTTGGGACTATAGGTACACGCCACTGTACCTGGCTTATTTTTTCAACTTCCTATGAACAAATAGTTATTTAAAGCAAAAAGTTTTGGGCTAGAACTTAAAAAATCATTTGAAAGGACATTTACTTAAAAGCATTCTAAGGAAGACCATTTCTTTTTTTTTTTTTTGGGACAGAGTCTCACTTTGTCACCTGTAGTAGAGTGCCGGGGCATCATTGCTCACAACAACCTCAAACTCTTGGGCTCAAGCGATTCTCTTGCCTCAGCCTCCTGAGTAGCTGGGAGTATCGGCACCCACCACAAATGCCTGGCTATTTTTTTTTTTTTTTTTTTGAGACAGAGCCTCAAGCTGTCCCCCTGGGCAGAGTGCCATGGCATCACGCTCACAGCAACCTCCAACTCCTGGGCTCAAGCGAGTCTCCTGCCTCCGCCTCCCAAGTAGCTGGGACCACAGGCGCCCGCCACAACGCCCGGCTATTTTTTGGTTGCAGCCATCATCGTTGTTTGGCGGGTCCGGGCTGGGGATTCGAACCCGACAGCTTAGGTGTACGTGGCTGGCGCCTTAGCCGGTTGAGCTATAGGCGCCGAGCCGCCTGGCTATTTTTTTAGAGGCAAGGTCTTGCTCTGGTTCAGGCTGGTCTTGAACCTGTGAGCTCAGACTATCTACCCACCTTGGCCTCCCAGAGTGCTAGGATTACAGTTGAGAGCCGCCACACCCAGCCTGGAAAATAATTTCTTTCTCTTTTCTATTTATTTATTTTATTTTACTTATTTTATTTATTTATTTATTTATTTTTGCTGTTTTTGGCTGGGGCTGGTTTGAACGTGCCACCTCCAGCATATGGGGCTGGCGCTCTACTCCTTTGAGCCACAGTCGCCGCCCGTATTATTATTATTTTTGAGATGGAGTTTTTTTCACTCTGTTGCCCGTGGCATCAGCCTAACTCACAGCAACCTCAAATTCCTGGGTTCAAGCAATCCTCCTGCCTCAGCCTCCCAAGTACCTGGGAGTTCAGGATGGCTAAACACCCAGCCACAATGCCCAGCTAATTTTTCTACTTTTCATAGAGACTTGATGTTGCTTTTGTTCAGCATGGTCTGCAACTCCTGTCAGCTCAAGTGACGCTCCTGCCTCGGCCTCCCAGAATGTTAGAATTATAGTCATGAGCCACCATATCCTGCTGGAAAAACGTTCCTTCATTTATAACGAGCTAATCAAGATTTTCGCAGTCCTATGACCCTGATAAATGACCACGATTTAAGAATGTCAGATTTTCCTCATTTTTAACCTTGTATTATGGAGTGGCTTTCCCCCCTTTTTTTGGAGATAGGGTCTCACTTTGTCACACAGGTTGGAGTGTAGGAGCATGAGTAATCACAGTTCCGTGTATCCTTGAACTTCCCACCACAGCTTCCTGAGTAGATGGAAGGGACAACAGGTGCATGCCACTGTCCCCCACTAATTTTTTTTTTTTTTTTGAGACAGAGTTTCACTTATTAACCCTTGGTAGAGTGCTGTGGCATCACAGCTCACAGCAACCTCCAACTCCTTGGGCTTACGTGATTCTTTTGCCTCAGCCTCCTGAGTAGCTGGGACTACAGGTGCCTGCCAGGCTATTTTTTTGTTGTTGTTGCAGTTTGGCCAGGGCTGGGTTTGAACTTGCCACCCTCGGTATATGGGGCTGGCACCCTACTCACTGAGCCACAGGTGCCGCCCTAATTTTTTTTATTTTTTCGTAGAAGTAGGGATCTTACTATGTTGCTCAGGCTGGTCTCAAACTTTTAGGCTCAAGCAATCCTTCAGCATCAGCCTCCCAATGTGCTGGGGTTGTAGGTGTGAGTCACTATGTCTGGCCTTCTGAAATGTTTTTTTTAAAACCTAGAAATCACTTGCTACAGAGAGCAGATTAAAAGGTCCAGGCAAGCTTCCAAATGTGTGGACAGGAAAAACAGGTATGAAGTATAATGGAACTGAGGGGTGGAGGTTTTATAACTCTCATTGGTTTCAACAGCAAGGAAAGATGACCTATGTCCCCACCCACCCTGGTTTAGTGCTCCTTGCTGGTATATGAATCACTGTAACACCTTTTTGCTCTCTCATCCACATGAGTGGCCCTGCCATCTCTCACTTGCAGTCCAAATGTGGATAGATAACTCTGTTCCCTGGATTCATACCCAACTAAGAGATTAGGGTAACTTTCTCCAAATCCATATATTTGTTTCAGTTCATCATCCCTTCGTTTATCAAACATTTCTTGAGCTCCTACTAAAAGAAGAAGGAAAACACAGAATATGACTCCTTCCATCACAGAGACAGACACATTAATGATGATGATAATGATGTGCTAATAAAGAGACATGGATACAGATTCTATGTGAGAAGAGAGGAGGATGCATTAAGATATGGGGAAGCCCAGAAGCAGAGGGTATTGGAAAATCTTCACAGAGGAGATACCCTACGATCGGGGTGCCAAAGACTAAATAGAAGGTTATGAGTGAAGAGAGTGGGAGAAAGAACATTCCAGGCAGACTGGAGGCATGAAATAAGGATGACTTTAGAGTTTGTTAAGTACCGTGTTTCCCCGAAAAGAAGACCTACCCCAAAAATAAGCCCTAGCAGGATTTCTGTGCATTTGTTAAATATTAGCCCTACCCCATAATAAGACCTAGTGATGGGCGTGGCTATGCAGCATATCTGCATAGCCATACCATGCATTTCAGTGCAGATAGGAAGACATCCCCTGAAAATAAGCCCCAGTGTGTCTTCTTGAGAAAAAATAAACATAAGACAATGTCTTATTTTTGGGGAAACACAGCATGATAGAGAAATGATAAAGTAATTTTTTTTTTTTGAGACAGAGTGTGACTCTGTTTCCCTGTGTTGGGTGCTGTGACATCACAGCTCACAACAACCTCACAGCTCACAACAACCTCAAACTCCTCCTAAGTAGCTGGAACTACAGGTATCTGCCACAACGCCCAGCTTGTTTTTCTATTTTTAATGGAGACAGGGTTTTGCTCTTGCTCAGGCTGGTCTGGAACTCCTGAGCTCAAGCAATCCACTTGCCTGGACCTCCCAGAAATGATAAAGTAATTTGAGGACAGGCTGTGAAGAACTTTGTAAGCCATGCTTGGGATATTGGATTTTATTTTTAAGGTAGTGGGAACCTGATGATTTTTGCACTAACTTATTTAAAAGTTAGTATGCTATTATAAAATAATACAAATGAATATGCTATAATAATACAT